ATCTGAAAGCCCGAGTGCTACCTGAGCACAGCGCTGTGGCTATCTTGGTTGGTGTTGGGCTGAGTCAGGAACATGGAGCCGTCAGGAATCCATGAGGGAGACCATAGGGCGAGTGTGGACCAAGGCTAAAGCCAGAGGGACCCTGTGCTTGAGCTCCCAAGGAGGGAGGTGGCCTGAGACAACCTAATCCCATCAGGAAACCCAGCCTATCCTGATCCCTGCTTCTACTGCTGACCCCTCCCAGGACAGCAGCGAAGTGCCGAGCAACCTCTCCTTCCTCGGTGGACCCAGGCCTCTGTACCCTCCCCTCCTTGTGCTCTCAGCCTCTTGCCTTCATCCCTTGCCACTTGGGGCTCTTTTTGTCCTTGCTCAGATCCAGGAAGTGGATCAGGTGGGAGGTTTGGGTTTCTAAGAGTTCTGTTCAGCCTGTTTCACTGATGGCTTCGAGGCTCTACCGTGGAAAATACACCAGGCTGCGCTGGCCGTGAGGCTCCTGGGTCCACTTTGCAGAGGATAGCACGGAGGGACGGGGAGGAGCCCCTTAAGCCAGGTTGGTGATGGGTGACTAGCCATGCCTGATGTCCTCAGGGCTTCCCAGCAGGAAGGAAACACCAACACAGCCAAGTTCCAAGGGTGCATTTATTAGTGCCCAGATCCAGAAGGTGAGTGAGCTTGGTGGAGATCATAATGCAGATGACCCCTTCTCTGCCTTCCTTGGTGAGCCCTGCATCCCTTTCAGACAGGAGCTGTGGTCAGGGACTCTAGACTCAGACCTCTATAGCCTGGGGCCGGGAATGGGCTTTGCACGGCTGGGACAGTGTTCCAGCAGGATCCTGAGTGGGGCCTTGGGCCACCTCCTAGGCCAATGCTGAGGCAGTGGGGGCAGCAGATACAAGGGGTCCGGGAGGTCTCAGGCAGCACCCTCAGTGAGCAGTACCCCAGCCTATGCGGGTCCTGGCAGAACTGGCTAAGGCACAGCGGCAGGACGGTGTCCTGCTGCAGGTTAGAGCTCTGTAGGAACCCAACTTTCAGGGACACATGACAGAACACAAAGCTACTTTTTCCTCCGGGGGTTCCGGGGGCCACTGCTACAGTTGTTGGGGGTGGGTGTGGCCTGTGTGGATGCAGCTCCTGACTCCTTTTTGGGGATCAGTTTGTGCTTCTCTTCTCTGGCCGGGAGGGAGGACTGGGGCAACCAGGAGGCCAACAGGGCTTGCACAACTCTCACGGCACCCACAGCTCCCAGGAGCCCCCAGAGCAGGTTGGGGGGCTCCAGGGGAGACAGCTGAGTCCGCACCCAGTGAAGGGCCCGGGCCAGTGCGTGGCTAGAGCTGCGGGGCCGGGGCGGAGCCTTGTCCTGTGAACAAGACAGAGAAAGGTGCCACAGTGTTGGCCCCTGCTGGTGAGAGTCCTCCACCACTTCCCCCAGCCTGGTCTAGACCCTCCTACCTGAAGCCCAAACTGCTGCAGCAGCTTCTCCAGGATGGGGTCCCCCAGGGACACAGGTGGGAAGAATTCTTCCACCCACTGGCGGCGCCACCACTGGCTGCAACAGGACTGGATTCTCAGCGCCTGGCCCAAGCCCCAGCCCCAGCCCCCAAACAAGAGACCAGGCTTACCCCTGCTCCCCAGGCTGAGAGAACCAGTATTTGTAGCGCTGGGCTCGGATGTAGGTGGGTGGTTGCTTATGAAATGGGTACCGGGCAGCGTCATTCTGGATGAGATGGATCACTGTGAGGGGGACAGGGTTCAGCATGGCTTGGAGGGCACGCACCCTGTGCCCCTCTCCGGCCCTCCTTGCTCCCCTCACCTGGTTCCTTGCCCTGCAGCAGGCGGAGCACCAGGCTGGTGAACCAAGGGCTGTGTGTGTGTGGGCCCAGGGCTGCAAACCACATTTGCCAGTCGAGACGCGGCTGGTGGGGCACCACGACGGGGGGTGGGCGGCTCACGTTTCCGGGCTTGTACATAAACTCAATCTCCTGCCAGGTGGACCCCAGGTCAGGTAGGCAGGCTGGCCTGGGTCCCTATGACCCCCAACCCCTGGGAGGCTCACTGTCCAGTGGTGTCCATCGTAGCTGCCTTCCAGCACCACCTCAGGCCGCCCCCCAAGACCAGTCATCCGACGGAACAGGCCATACGAGTTGGCCAGCTGCAGGTGCTCCACAGCGCCAAAGAGGTGGTGAGCCCCAGGCCAGAGGAGCCCATGGGTCCCAGGCTCCACATACGAGTAGGGCACCTGCAGCAGGCGGAGGGAGGTTCAGTATTGCCCTCTGGGCCCCTCCAGCCCCACTTCCTGTCACACTACCTACCAGGCTAATGAGGAACAGGCCCACCGTAGTAGCACTCCAGATGGAAAGCTGGATTGCAGCACAGAGCTTCCGCAGCCACCCCCGCATCTGTGCCCACCTGGGGACAGGGTCAAGTGTGACTAGGCTGCCCCGGGTATGGGCCCCCTCCCCCGCCACAGGCATGTACCTCCAGAGGGCAGCAAGCAGCTCCCAGGTCAGGGAGGCTGCACCCAGCCACATAGTGGGGAGTGTCACCATCTTTAGCCACTGGGAGAACTGGTGGAAGGTGAAGGCTGCCAAGAGAGAGGGACATAAGGAGGGCTGGCCTGGCCTTCTCCCCTGGACCCCCCACCTGGCACTCACTTGTTCTGGAGTGGACCATGTGCTGTTGCCAGTCAACTTCCAGGCCAAAGTAGTGCACAGTGCCATAGGCCAGTGTCCCATAGATGGCCAGTTCCAGCAGCAGGGACAGCTTGGATAGCAGGACCCTGGGCCAGGCTGTGGGCAGGACAGTCAATGGCTGGCAGAGGGTCCACAGCCAGGGGCTGCAGGGAGCTGGGATGTGGCTCTTTCAGAGAGTGCTGGAAGGAAGGAGACACCCTAGAGGGGAGGGGTGAGGACAGCTGACTGTCAGGAGCAGCCTGACACTCACAGGTGGGCCTCTTCCTGGGGTGGCTGAGCCCAGGCTCAGCAGCCAGATGCTGGTCATCCAGAAGGGCAGTGGTAAGCACCAGGGTGAGTAGATTGAAGAAGTTATAGTTGCCCGTGATGATGATCAGGATTTGTAGCAGCACCTGGGAAGGTTTGCACTTGAAGCTCCTGAGACCTATCCCCTAGTCCACTAACCTAGTGACAGGCCTCCCTCAACGTGGCTGCTCGACACACACCTGCCCACCTGAGGAACACACCTTCTGGCTGTGAGGCTTCCCAGACAGCAGTAGCCACCTGTCTGCCAGGGCTGCCCTGTACCCCACCTACCTGAGTGTAGAAGGCGGCCAAACGCAGGCGGCGAATGGGGGCGAAGAACAGAGGGGGCACTGCAATCTCGATGAGGAAAGTCGCCACCACGCTGAGCTTGTGCAGCCAGACAGGCAGGTGGTGTGCAAGCCAGGCAGCGGGTGTGGGCAGACACTGTGTCTCATAGTGGTAGGTGAGGGCTGCGGGCACACGTGAGTGGTTAAGGCTGTGGAGAGCTCCCTTGGCCACCCCAGGTCCAGGCCAGGATGCTCACCAGTGAGTCCCCACCATGCCGGGCAGCGGCTGGTCAGCTTGACCACACCTGAGGCAAACATGAGGCGAAACAGCAGCCAGCGCACGAGCCAGAAGGGGAGGCCTTTATAGGCTGAGGCCCCTACCAGCGGCCCCTGGGGAGCCTGCTTTCGGCTGGAGGGCTGCCTCAGTGGGGCTACCAGCACAGCCAGGAAGCCGGTTTCCAAGAGCAGCGAATCCCTGTAGGAAGAAGAAATGGGATCAAGTACTGCCCCCTGCTCCTCCCTCAGAGGGCTTTCCAGGAAAGGCAGACACACGCCCTGGCCTGAGTCACTCACCACTGGAAGTAGAGGAACACCTGGCCCACCTGCGGGGAGAAGGGCCGTCAGGGAGCAGGTATGTCTGCAGGTGACGTGAGGCAGAGGCAGGGAAACTGCATGGGGTGGAACGACGAGGGTCTCACTTGCCTGGCAGACCGACAGGTATGCAGCCCAGAGCAGCAGGTAAATGAGGGGGTGGCGCAGCGGGCGCAGGAGCAGTGGACCCAGGGCCAGGACTGTGCCCAGCAGGCTCAGCAGCTCTAGGCCTTGGGCCGTGTCCAGTCCCAGCCTTGGTGCTTCCCACAGCAGCGTTGGGGTCTCCCACAGCTGTTGCCAGCGCCCCTTGCCCTGGGGCCGCAGCATCCTCCGTGCAGGCAGGATGCCCTCGGGACCATAGAGGCCTGTGGGAAGGTATGTCAGCTCGAGGCCTGCACACTGCCCGCCCCAGACTAAATCACCCTGAAGAAGAAGACGGCAGCCTCGCCCTGGAGAAAGAGCGGCTACGGACTCGGGGCCCGCCACACCGCACGTCTTCCTCCCTCTGATCCACCGCCCCCCACGTCTGCGCCTGGGCCTGGGGCGCACCCTGCTCCAAGTGGCGGGAGCGCGAGGGGGGGCTACGGACGACCCGGGCCGCACGCCTCGGAGGGGGTGTCCCACCCGGGGGAGGTCCCACCCTCGGGCCCTCACCAGGGATCTGCGTGTAGAGGGAAGCGAAGGCGAACATGAAGACTGCAGCCACGCCCTGGAGAAAGAGCTGCCGCGGGAGCCGGGAGCCTGCCATATCTGCTACGCGGCGCGGTGGGCCGGAGCGGAGCCTGGAGCCTGGATCCTGCGGCCCGGCGCTCCCGCCCCACCCCGCCCCGCA